ACTTCCCCTAACGAGAGTCAGGCAAATATTAGAGCTGGGTGGACTCAGTGACGTCTTACTAAACCACATTCAGGTTACCAGTCGTGCGGTCTACCTCTCGGCCACGCCGTCCCATACTAGGTTAACTAAAGGTTGTTCTAGCAACAATGTTCCCTTCCTATAGAGCAAGTCATAACGAAAGTCATATCTTCCAGATGAGAGTTTATTCTAGGCATCTCTTCGGGGGAGGGGGGGGGGGGGGCGGGGGACGAACGAACGAAATGAAATGCATATAATTTATATAGAAAATATATACTTTTAACAGTGTCCGCCCAACCCCCCTACCCCCGAAGGAAGTCTACCTCCCCCCCCCCCCGGAAATTTCAAGTACCCCCCCCCCCCCCCCAGAGAAAAAAGTCTGGAAGAAACACTGTTCCAGATCAATGTGATCATGCTAGCTCGAGCGCAGACTATCACGATACAGATATATTTTATACGGATGAAAATATTCTCCGTAAAATTTAGGACAATGGACTGAATGATGTCATCCAGACGAAATAACTTTAGCAGGAAATCAACAGAACCGTCTTCCTCTTTGATCCAACATGCCTTGACATGCCACCCAGCTAAGTTCACCCGGAATATCATTAATTAGAGAGCCAGTCCAATCAGTGGACACACAGCGGACCAGCCTGCCCGGGAGAGAAAGTCAATGTTTAGTTTTCCACTCACTAGAGCAAGCAGAGGGCGGCAACGCGCGGGAGTCAGTGTTTGGTTAACACGGCCAGAGGTTGATACAGCTACATTTCTAGGGGTTCTCAATGTGTCACTACAGCTACATTTCTAGAGGTTCTCAATGTGTCACTACAGCTACATTTCTAGAGGTTCTCAATGTGTCACTACAGCTACATTTCTAGAGGTTCTCAATGTGTCACTACAGCTACAGTTCAAGAGGTTCTCAATGTGACACTACAGCTACATTTCTAGAGGTTCTCAATGTGTCACTACAGCTACATTTCTAGAGGTTCTCAATGTGTCACTACAGCTACAGTTCAAGAGGTTCTCAATGTGACACTACAGCTACATTTCCAGAGGTTCTCAATGTGTCACTACAGCTACATTTCTAGAGGTTCTCAATGTGTCAGTACAGCTACATTTCTAGAGGTTCTCAATGTGTCACTACAGCTACATTTCTAGAGGTTCTCAATGTGACACTACAGCTACAGTTCAAGAGGTTCTCAATGTGACACTACAGCTACATTTCTAGAGGTTCTCAATGTGTCACTACAGCTACAGTTCAAGAGGTTCTCAATGTGACACTACAGCTACATTTCAAGAGGTTCTCAATGTGACACTACAGCTACATTTCTAGAGGTTCTCAATGTGTCACTACAGCTACATTTCTAGAGGTTCTCAATGTGTCACTACAGCTACATTTCTAGAGGTTCTCAATGTGTCACTACAGCTACAGTTCAAGAGGTTCTCAATGTGACACTACAGCTACATTTCCAGAGGTTCTCAATGTGTCACTACAGCTACATTTCTAGAGGTTCTCAATGTGTCAGTACAGCTACATTTCTAGAGGTTCTCAATGTGTCACTACAGCTACATTTCTAGAGGTTCTCAATGTGACACTACAGCTACAGTTCAAGAGGTTCTCAATGTGACACTACAGCTACATTTCTAGAGGTTCTCAATGTGTCACTACAGCTACAGTTCAAGAGGTTCTCAATGTGACACTACAGCTACATTTCCAGAGGTTCTCAATGTGTCACTACAGCTACATTTCTAGAGGTTCTCAATGTGACACTACAGCTACATTTCTAGAGGTTCTCAATGTGACACTACAGCTACAGTTCAAGAGGTTCTCAATGTGTCACTACAACTACATTTCTAGAGGTTCTCAATGTGACATTACAGCTACAGTTCAAGAGGTTCTCAATGTGACACTACAGCTACAGTTCAAGAGGTTCTCAATGTGTCACTACAGCTACATTTCTAGAGGTTCTCAATGTGTCACTACAGCTACAGTTCAAGAGGTTCTCAATGTGTCACTACAACTACATTTCTAGAGGTTCTCAATGTGACATTACAGCTACATTTCTAGAGGTTCTCAATGTGTCACTACAGCTACATTTCTAGAGGGTTTCTTTCAGCTAATTCTAGAGGTTCCCAATGTGTCACTACAGGTACATTTTTAGAGTGTAAAATATGTATGCGACTGTAAGCCATTATAAATCTTGATCCTTCTACCATGTTTTATTATTGTGAAAATTGCTAAGATAGGCTTGAACGTTTACAGACACCTACGTTATTTAACTATATTAATACATAGATGGAACTATATTATATAATTGTAATATTCAATAATCACCATAATAACTTAAATATTATATTAAATCATTGTTTTTAAGTTTAAATAATGCTTTGTTGAAAAATAGCGCTGCTCTGCTTTGAGTAATGGTATACGCTAATAGTTACTTCCCATTTATATATTTAAAATAACTTAGGGGAGACAACTTTTAATTCATCAAATTACTATACATGAAAATTAAAAACCTTAGAATTTTTTTTGTCATTATTTGACGGTAGTTTAAACAGAAAACAATAAGCTACAATAAATACTTTTTTGTGAGTGTGTGTGTGTGTGTGTGTGATGAGCGGGGTAAGGCACCAACATTTTAAAAAAAAAAAATGAAGGAGGCGGCCCAATGCAGTACACTGCCACCATAAAAAAACAACTAAATCTGGTGTTTGTCCTGTAGACGATAGTACCAAGAGGAGAGGACAAGACTCCAACACTGGACAGTGGACTTGGTCAAACAAACTCTAGTGGGGAATAAACACGGCAAGACAGTGACGTCAGTGGGCAATAAACACGGCAAGACAGTTCGGAAGCGTGGGACATGTTTTACTTCATTGGTGAGTACAGGCGTGTAAGTGTACGTAAAACAAAGTCTGTCGTTGGTAGTTACTGAGTAAAGGTGTACGGTACACGGACTGTCGTTGGTAGTTACTGAGTACACAAGGACTGACGTTGGTAGTTACTGAGTACACAAGGACTGACGTTGGTAGTTACTGAGTACATGAGTACCGATGTACGGCACAAGGACTGTCGTTGGTAGTTACTGAGTACACAAGGACTGACGTTGGTAGTTACTGAGTACACAAGGACTGTCGTTGGTAGTTATTGAGTAAAGGTGTACGGCACAAGGACTGACGTTGGTAGTTACTGAGTACATGAGTACCGATGTACGGCACAAGGACTGTCGTTGGTAGTTACTGAGTACACAAGGACTGACGTTGGTAGTTACTGAGTACACAAGGACTGACGTTGGTAGTTACTGAGTACATGAGTACCGATGTACGGCACAAGGACTGTCGTTGGTAGTTACTGAGTACACAAGGACTGACGTTGGTAGTGACTGAGTACACAAGGACTGTCGTACGTGCGTACAGGTGTACAAGCCCATCAATGCTCAACTTGTGTCACGTGATACAAAAAGACAATTCACAAGCCGAAGTCAGAACATGTGAGTGATACATAAGACAACAGATCAACAAACTAAAGTCACGTGATCAAGTCGACTAGCCACGTGTTATGTATAAAATTAGAAAAACCATGTATACTTCTTATGAAACAATAGCCCATTCATCATGAGCCCATGCCCAGCATGCTCCATTGAGCTGCACACAATCAGCGACTGTAAAGAGCTAATCCTAAAGTAATATTCACCAACATGCCTACCTGTTTAGATACCACGCAGCTTAAATTAAGCTCCACGGGAGCTGTCAGCTAAAACACGTAAGTAGGATACAGTGGATCTGCGTTTCATCAAGTTAAAGCCTAGCTCTGTGTTAGCACAAATCGATAATTAAAGAGAAAGAATAATTGCTTTTTCTACGGTACAAAGTCTCAATGGCATGGTCCAATGTGTTAAGTTGGCAGTAGAGAGCAGACATAAGGAAGGTTCAGTTGTAACTTGAGACCAACAAGGTTTAACTAGAAACATCAGATTAACATAACAAGCAGTAGATTAGCTCCCTATCACATGTTAGCCCCCTACCACATGTTAGCTCCCTATCACATGTTAGCTCCCTATCACATGTTAGCTCCCTATCCAATGTTAGCTCCCCTTTACATGTTAGCTCCCCTTTACATGTTAGCTCCCTATCACATGTTAGCTCCCCTTTACATGTTAGCTCCCTATCACATGTTAGCTCCCTATCACATGTTAGCTCCCTATCACATGTTAGCTCCCTATCCAATGTTAGCTCCCTATCACATGTTAGCTCCCCTTTACATGTTAGCTCCCTATCCAATGTTAGCTCCCTATCACATGTTAGCTCCCCTTTACATGTTAGCTCCCTATCCAATGTTAGCTCCCTATCACATGTTAGCTCCCTATCACATGTTAGCTCCCTATCCAATGTTAGCTCCCTATCACATGTTAGCTCCCTATCAAATACTAGCTCCCTATCCAATGTTAGCTCCCCTTTACATGTTAGCTCCCCTTTACATGTTAGCTCCCTATCCAATGCCCGTTACAAACAAAATCTGCCCTTCAGCTATACGAGTGGCTCATGTGTCAATCTATGACGTCCATTTCCTAGCTTTAGGATTAGCCTCAACATAGACGTATTCGGTGTACATGGACGTAATCGGTGTACATGGACGTAATCGGTGTACATGGACGTAATCGGTGTACGTAGACGTAATCGGTGTACATAGACGTAATCGGTGTACGTAGACGTAATCGGTGTACTTGTAAATTCGATCACATTTTGTATTGAAGATTTTACTCCATCGCCGTATTGTTTTCAATATCTGCTGTCAGTTGTCCAGTCAAGTGACCAACATTTGAGGTAAAAAAACCTAGCCTCATGTTAATGTCCTATAAAACTGTGCTCAGCTAATTATAACAGACAATATCAGACACAACATCAGTACCGACAAAAAATGACCACACTTTTTAACTTTGGTCTGTAAGATGTAAACATGAATAAGAAATGTGACTCACCAAAGTCTGTATTAAACCTGTCGAAGCCAGGCCCACCGTTGCGTACCCCTCTCCTGTATCTGTCATCATCATCTCGTCTCATGTCGTCTCTGTGGGGGAGATCAAAGGTTATCGGTTGTTACAACAGATCTATGTGTAGCGGACAACACACGTACCGGACACAACACACACGTGCTGGACACAACACACACGTGCCGGACACAACACACACGTGCCGGACACAACACACACGTGCTGGACACAACACACACGTGCCGGACACAACACACACGTGCTGGACACAGCACACACGTGCTGGACACAACACACACTTGCCGGACACAACACACACGTGCCGGACACAACACACACGTGCCGGACACAACACACACGTGCCGGACACAACACACACGTGCTGGACACAACACACACGTGCTGGACACAACACACACTTGCCGGACACAACACACACGTGCCGGACACAACACACACGTGCCGGACACAACACACACGTGCCGGACACAACACACACGTGCCGGACACAACACACACGTGCCGGACACAACTCACACACTTGATGGACACAACACACACGTGCTGGACACAACACACACGTGCCGGACACAACACACACTTGCCGGACACAACATACAACACATCAGTGCACAACAAATGTATGGTATACATCAACCAAAACACAACAAGTGTATGGTATACATGAGCCAACACATAACAAGTGTATGGTATGCATGAGCCAACACACAATAAATGCGTACTAGACAAACAACAACAAAAGAATAAAGCCCATTTTTTTTATGTTTAGAGATTGCCAACATTATGCTGATAGACATAGGTGTACAGTATGGTATCAATACTTTAGGTTAGTAGCAGTGGTAAGTAAATTGTGACTACCAATCAGAACTAGTACGACCTCTAAATAATTGTTGAGACAAATATTTCAATGACGTCATACCACCCACTCACGGATCTGTTGTAGATCACGATTTTGGTCACATGACACGGGTGGCAGACCTTACTGTAACTACACCTAACACCTTACACCTCAAGATTTATATCCGCTACCGATAACAAAAATATTCCATTCAACAGAATCTAGAGAGATGGGATTGTTAGCAGATTCCAATCAATGTTGTACAGACAGATGTTGTCTACTTTAGACTTTCTCTACCCCAACCTTTAGCCCGGGGTACACAGTTACATACTGGAGAGATGGGGTGGCTAGCAGATTCCAATCAATGTTGTACAGACAGATGTTGTCTACTTTAGACTTTCTCTACCCCAAACTTTAGCCCGGGGTACACAGTTACATACTGGAGAGATGGGGTGGCTAGCAGATTCCAATCAATGTTGTACAGACAGATGTTGTCTACTTTAGACTTTCTCTACCCCAAACTTTAGCCCGGGGTACACAGTTACATACTGGAGAGATGGGGTGGCTAGCAGATTCCAATCAATGTTGTACAGACAGATGTTGTCTACTTTAGACTTTCTCTACCCCAAACTTTAGCCCGGGGTACACAGTTACATACTGGAGAGATGGGGTGGCTAGCAGATTCCAATCAATGTTGTACAGACAGATGTTGTCTACTTTAGACTTTCTCTACCCCAAACTTTAGCCCGGGGTACACAGTTACATACTGGAGAGATGGGGTGGCTAGCAGATTCCAATCAATGTTGTACAGACAGATGTTGTCTACTTTAGACTTTCTCTACCCCAAACTTTAGCCCGGGGTACACAGTTACATACTGGAGAGATGGGGTGGCTAGCAGATTCCAATCAATGTTGTACAGACAGATGTTGTCTACTTTAGACTTTCTCTACCCCAAACTTTAGCCCGGGGTACACAGTTACATACTGGAGAGATGGGGTGGCTAGCAGATTCCAATCAATGTTGTACAGACAGATGTTGTCTACTTTAGACTTTCTCTACCCCAAACTTTAGCCCGGGGTACACAGTTACATACTGGAGAGATGGGGTGGCTAGCAGATTCCAATCAATGTTGTACAGACAGATGTTGTCTACTTTAGACTTTCTCTACCCCAACCTTTAGCCCGGGGTACACAGTTACATACTGGAGAGATGGGAGAGTTCTTTTGTAAAGTCCGAGCTGCCCAGTGAGCCACATTAGGTGGAGCGGTGGTCTATAGCATGTGTTTATTGTGGCAAAAAAGAATTAGCCGTACGCCACATATAATCACAAATAAGGCCCGTATACTTTAGTATCTAAATAAAGAAAATATCAACAAGCACGAACTTCATTCACGCCAGTATCGATTTTTTCATCACAAATCTGTCTTACAATCACCGATCAACAGGTCATTTCATACAACAAGGTCATTCTTTTGGGGAACAAAACAATGTATCTAATCTTTCAAATCATGCTATTTTTAGCTCGTTGACTCAAAGAAGTTTCCAATCAAATCAAGTGCAAAGTTCAACAGCCCTTCTCTTTGCCACACTATTTAACCATCCTAACTACCGCCCTACTAACCATCCATAACTACCGCCCTACTGTCACACCCTCAATCCTAACTGACGTTCTATTGTCCCACTAACATTCTTAACTACCGCCCTATAGACAGACCAATCATCAACCATCCAAACTTATCCTACTGTGATTCAAGCACTATCCGTACAACTACATAACCCACACACAACAATATTATAGGTACAGTAGAGTTCAGCTGCTCTTAAACTATCATGCTTTTGTTGGTAACTGTTCAATGCATGTTTTATATCAATTAATTATAGTTACGACAGTTTAACAATACCCAATTAATGTATAGTTCTTTAATTGTCTTTTCTTAACTATTTAATTGTTTCAAATTTTAGATGTGCATGCCTGTGTATGTGTGTACTTCTACTTTAAAATTTAGAATAAAAAGAAATGCAGAAACTGATAATGAAGGTATCACCAAACCTTATCTGTCTAGCAGTAAACCAAGGCTAATCCAGATACCTAGAGCCACACGTGTGAACCAAAAAACGTGTATCACGAATCAACAAATGTCATTTCACATTCCAAACACAGCGCTGTGTAAGGGGCGATAAATCCTCACAAGCACGTAACAAATCCTTATTGTAACACAGAAAATGTCTAATGAAGATAGTGCTGTACTGTAATCCCTTAATTCAATCAACACTTGGTACATAGATAACACTCAGCGGAACTAATTCATTAGCAGCAACACCAGCCGGACCGGCGTACGTCTCGGCAGGTATATTAATTCAACACGGATCAATAAGGCGAGCTACACACCTGATAACCTGAGGATCTGTGGTTGGGAGAAAACAAAAGTTTACAATGATACTTTTATTACTTAGACGTGATGTTCACTAAAGGGAAACAACCACCGCGCGAGGGAGGGGTAAAACACCACCACGCGACCAGGGGACGTCATCTCGCTAGGTGAGGGCAGATTTGAATCGAGATAGTCTTCCCTCAATCTAGTGTTCCACTCTTGTTGAAAAAAAAAATAACTGAAAGAATGTGACCTATTTTTTTTAGAACCGGCGAAGTAGACGAGACACGCTTTAAAAGCCCGTTCATAAAATCGGGTTTTCTTCGGTAGGTGGGTAGGGGTGGGTGGGCACCTCGCCTTCCGTGGAAAAAAAAAACACTGTGTGTGTATATGTATGTATATATATATATATATATATATATATATATATATATATATATATATATATATATATATATATATATATATAGTGCATATATGTGTGTACCGAGAGAGGGAATTTGGAGACAGAGAACATAGGCTAAAAATAGACACGATTTAACAACGGTTTATATCTATGAATAAAATTCCTTGAAAATGTAGGACGAACGATTTGTATAACAAGCACCACTACGACAGTATAAAATAAACTTGGAGTTTTAAGCCAACGCATCAGTGACCCTACAATCCCCAAATTTTATTCTCTTCCCCCCCCCCGCCCCCGACATTAAAGCAACATACCAGCAGGGCTGGCGTCACGCTAAACTGCACATCTTCCATTGTTAGCCTTTTAATGTGAATTTTAAATCTGCTTATTGTTGTATTTTAAATAGATCTAGCTGTGTTGTGGTGGCGAGGGGAACGCCAGCCTGACAAGGAGGGGGCGGCTGAAATACTTCAGTACACCAGATAAACAACTTGAGCCGAGGAATTTACAACAGCTCTGTCGTAAAGACACTACAACACCTTGGTAGTGTCACGTCAAATGTTTGATACACCTGGGTAAAGTAGTGTCACGTCAAAGGTTTGATACACCTTGGTAAAGTAGTGTCACGTCAAATGTTTGATACACCTGAGTAAAGTAGTGTCACGTCAAAGGTTTGATACACCTGGGTAAAGTAGTGTCACGTCAAATGTTTGATACACCTGGGTAAAGTAGTGTCACGTCCAATGTTTGATACACGTGGGTAAAGTAGTGTCACGTCAAATGTTTGATACACCTGGGTAAAGTAGTGTCACGTCAAATGTTTGATACACGTGGGTAAAGTAGTGTCACGTCAAATGTTTGATACACCTGAGTAAAGTAGTGTCACGTCAAATTTTTACAACACCTTGGTAGTGTCACGTCAAAGAGTTTTGTAGAAATTAAAAAAAACTTCTGGACGAAATATTTTGTATGAGTGAGGAGGAATTTAATGAGCTTCAAGAGTCGTGTATCAAAGATACCTTTACAATCTGCTCTTGCTCATAGACCCAGGCTCCCCCCTTAAACACAGGCACCCCCCCCCCCGACACGCCGGTGACCTGCCCCTCTCAAAACACCAGGCCCCTCCAGACACGTCGGTGACCTGCCCCTCCCTAAACACCAGACACCCTTCGTCACGCCGGAGACCTGCCCCTCCCTACATACCCAGGCACTCGAGTACTGACTGAATCGCTTCCGTCCTCCCTCCCTGGCCGGTCAGTGAACTCTGTGACCTCAAAACTAACGGGCACAGGTGAGGCCGTTACTGTCAAACTACTGAATTACAGCTTTATCCGCTCAATAACATGTGCTCATGTTCTTCTATAAATAGACTTGGGACTGCTCAGGTTTTCCATTATATCCCATGTATCAAGCACACCTAAGGCAGATCACTGGACCATATGACCACACCTACGATAGCATAATTCGGCACTTGTCGTCTGTTTACTTTATCGGTGTATAGGTCGGCATCGATTACCAATAACCTCATGTGGTTTGGTCAAACGCAGATCTCCCTGCCTGAAAGTTTGGTCAAGGTTTCAACGGCAAAGGTTAGGGTCAAGATTCTACAGTGGATGTTGTGGTCAAGGTTTCAACGGTAAAGGTTAGGGTCAAGATTCTACAGTGGATGTTGTGGTCAAGGTTTCAACGGTAAAGGTTAGGGTCAAGATTCTACAGTGGATGTTGTGGTCAAGGTTTCAACGGTAAAGGTTAGGGTCAAGATTCTACAGTGGATGTTGTGGTCATGGTTTCAACGGAAAAGGTTGTGGTCAAGGTTTCAACGGTAAAGGTTAGGGTCAAGATTCTACAGTGGATGTTGTGGTCATGGTTTCAACGGAAAAGGTTGTGGTCAAGGTTTCAACGGTAAATATTAGGGTCAAGATTCTAAGGTGCATGTTGTGGTCAAGGTTTCAACGGTAAATATTAGGGTCAAGATTCAAGGTTTCATCAGTGGAGGCTAGGGACAAGGGTTAATGGTAGAAAGGACGTAAAATATAATATTAATCAAGCAATAATGTAAAACGTCGATACCAACATGCTCAAAATATTGAACAAGAACATTCGTATACAAATACAAGCCACAATTATTCGGCTTCAATTAGCCATTAAATTAAGATATCTCAACATAGCCAACAAATTGTTGTTGAGGGCCGTGTGAATCTAGGTGGTGAGGGAGGGAGGGAGGGGGGTTAGAGTCAAGTTGTACGTGTCATTTAGTCACAAGACAGATTTATGGTCCTGGTGGGTGGGTGACTATTGTCATCAACAAAACGCAATTAGATTTGTTTTGTTTAGGGCGGGGAGAGAAGTTGGTCATGTGACGGTACATGACGGGGGAGACGGCTCAATTATAGGCTGACAGATCTACAAACCTAGTTGTCTTACAACGACATCATTCAGATCTATACATGTTTAGCATGTTGGGGTGAGGTGTAATTGGCGTAGGGTACAGTTCTCTGATACATATTCTATTGTAGAAACATGAAATGAAGCTTAACTGTGTATTTGAGGCGAAACACATCAGAGAAAATAATAAACACGTAGAATGTACACGACGAAATGAATGTACATGACGTAAGACACTAGAGCATGTCTTAAATAGACGCGTAGAACACACACATATAAATATGGTGAAAGTTGTGCTAAGTTCACACATACAAACGTAAGCAACCATATGGGCCCTCGCCTTTACAGAAGCAGCCGGCCGTTCGCTTTGCCTTTCTATCAAGTTTGTTTATTCAACTGGCTGGATAATCAAGTTTTTTAAAACTCTGATTATTGCGAAACGGGCATGAAAAGTTTGAACTGCTTGAGGGCATCTACAGAGCTACACAATGTGCAATAGATTGGTAACCTCCCAGCAGTCAATGTGGAAGGTGGGGTGAATCAAGTGAGGGACCACGTTCATCATGGAAACAATAACTTCAAATGGGTTTTTTTAATAAAGAAAATATTTTAACACTCAAGCTAGTACGCTGTAGAATTAGATATACCTGTATTTTTTAAAATATCAAAGCGATGACAGATGCGATAGAAGTTCTGATGTTAGAGACAATGATCTTCTGATCTTATGATTATTCTGTTAGAGACAATAATTGTTCTCATATTAATGTGTTCTGGTAGACAAGATGATTGTGTCACAGATCCTACGATGGTCTCCTGACAGATACTACGATGGCGTCACAGATACTACGATGGTGTCACAGATACTACGATGGTGTCCTGACAGATACTACGATGGTGTCCTGACAGATACTACGATGGTCTCACAGATACTACGCTGGTGTCCTGACAGATACTACGATGGTGTCACAGATACTACGATGGTCTCCTGACAGATACTACGATGGTGTCACATATACTATGATGGTGTCCTGAAAGATACTAAGATGGTGTCACATATACTATGATGGTCTCCTGACAGATACTACGATGGTGTCACAGATACTACGATGGTGTCACATATACTATGATGGTCTCCTGACAGATACTACGATGGTGTCACAGATACTACGATGGTGTCCTGAAAGATACTACGATGGTGTCACATATACTATGATGGTCTCCTGACAGATACTACGATGGTGTCACAGATACTACGATGGTGTCACATATACTATGATGGTCTCCTGACAGATACTACGATGTTGTCACAGATACTACGATGGTGTCCTGACAGATACTACGATGGTGTCAGATACTACGATGGTCTCCTGACAGATACTACGATGGTGTCACAGATACTACGATGGTGTCACAGATACTACGAAGATGTCCTGACAGATACTACGCTAGTGTCCTGACGTTATCTACAGAAACCATTGACTGAGCACACCTTAGCATATCTCCCCACAGAAAACCAACGTTACAAGGTGGGGCCCATCAAATAACTCTAGGCACAGCTCGGGGTCAACAGCTCCTGTTATCTCTAGAGCTGTTTGGTTGACTGGCCCACCCTGACACTCGTCACTGTAACACAGCAGCGCTTCTAGGCTACACATCCCTCACTCTCTAGCACAGTCAGTATACAGCCTTGTTACTCAAATATAAGGATCTCGACACTCGTACAAAAACATGTGTGTCTCGACACTCGTACAAAAACATGTGTGTCTCGACACTCGTACAAAAACATGTGTCTCGACACTCGTACAAAAACATGTGTGTCTCGACACTCGTACAAAAACATGTGTGTCTCGACACTCGTACAAAAACATGTATGACTCGAAACTAGTATAACAACACGTATGCCAAGTCATTCGTACAAAAAACACATCTCGCGATTCGTACAAAAAAAACGTGTGTATCGAAATACGTATGTCTAGCCTCACGTACAAAAAGATTTAGGCTATGTCTCGCCCATCGTACAATAACACAAATCACATATTTTACACAACAACATGTATACAAGCTATTGCATCCTGCATGTAAAGGTGCACATGAACAGTGTCGTGACTAACATGAGAGGACGTCTCGCCCCACTAGCGTGATATCAAATACACCAGGATTGTCTGATGGG